AGAGAGAGAGAGAGAGAAGAAAGGAAGGAAGGAAGGAAGGAAGGAAGGAAGGAAGGAAGGAAGGAAGGAAGGAAGGAAGGAAGGAAGGAAGGAAGGTAGGAAGGAAGTGTCCTTCAGCTTCTGAGGACAGGCTGTCCCTCAACAACAGCCCAAGAGTGAAACCACTGTGCTGTTGCAGAGGACCCAGGTTTGGTTTGGTTGCTAGCAACTGTGTCAGGCTGCTTATAACCACCTCTAACTTCTGCTCCAGAGGACCCAACAGCCTCTTCTGGCATCCATGGACAACCCCACCCCCACCACACACAGGTGGTGAATGCACACAAGTACACATAAAAAAAACCTGTGGGAGCTTCTGGGGGCCATGAAGTGCCTGTGGTAGTCAGGCCCTCCACAAAGGATATTGGAGGGGAGGATCCTGAGTCCTTTGTGGGATGGTGTGTTCACTACACCAGATATGAGACATTCACGCTGGTGTTACCACCAGCACCAGCACCAGCACCACCTCCACCTCTACCACCTCCACCTCCACCACCACAACTACCACCACCAGCACCAGTACCACCCCCTTTCTCTTCCCTCTCTGATCAAGTTCTTGCTTTGAAAACCAGGTTGGCCTTGAGCTTGCTGTGTAGCCCAGGCTGGCCTTGAGCTTGCTGTGTAGCCCAGGTTGGCCTTGAACTTAATCCTCTGCCTTTTCCTCCAGAGTGTTAGAATTACCACATTTGCCACCACACCTGCCCACCTCGGCCATTTTAGCCATTCTTTTTTTTTAAAAAAAAAGTAAGTTACATTTATTTAACCGCTAATCCCATCCCTTAGCGGCTAAGCTTCCCATCCGTGGCTTAATTCCCATGGTTACACTTCCCATTCCGGCTTCTCTTTCCCACTGCAGACACCTTTACACTGTGAGATAAACAACAGGACCGCCGTCTGTTGGCGACGGTTTGACTTCCAGCTGCTCTCAAGGACACAGTGTTTTCACTCCGGCTGTTGTACTGTTCTCTTCCCTCCTTACCACAGAATCGGGGGACAGCCTGTCCTCAGACATCAGAGGACACTTGGAGACAAGCATACATGGGTCTGAGATGGGGGAGGGGAACCCCGCTTTCCTGGGACAGCTTCTCAGCGAACTCACACCGCACATGACAATTACCAATACAATGTACATGTCACTGCCCTCCAAAGCCCCAGGCAAGAACTCCATCAGGGACACCACGGCTTTCAGTCCCTGATCCCAGGCAGGAAAGGGGTTCCTCTCTGCCTTCTCAGGCCCCAGGGTGAGCATTCCTTTGGCAGCTCGTACCTTCTTAAAGCTCCCCGGCCTCTTTGTAGCACCACTATAATTACTACTCAAAATAGTAATTACCGTTTTCTCTTTGCGTGGTGCTTTGAAGCAGGGAGATCCTTCAGGGCAGGGATGTGGTTTGGTTCATCGCTGGGTCTCTGGCCCCTGGAAGGCTCAGATTATATTTATTGGACAAATGGATGATGGATGGGCTGAGCAGGTGAGCTCAGGAGTGAAGGGAGCTGGGAAAGGGCAGTGTGAGCAAGTGGTGGGTGCGTCGCTTGGTGTCTCACAGCCTGAGCCCCCAGGAGTGAGATCTGAGTGTTATCCTCTGATAACAGTTCACGGAGACGTTTGAGAAGGGACGGTTAAATGAGGGGCTGGGGTGTGTGGTTCAGTTGGTAGGCTGCTTGCCTAGCATGCACAAAACCCTGGGTTCAATCTGTAGCACCATACCAGCTGGGTGTGGTGGTGATACAGGACTGTGGGAATCAACTGCAGGTGGATGTCTGCGAGTTCTAGGGCAGCTTGGTCCACATGGTAAGTCCCAGGCCCTCTTGGGGCCACACAGTGAGACCCTGCCAAAAATAAACACATAAATAAATGAACAAGACTGGACCTGCAGAGGCGGCTCAGTGGTTAGGAGCACTTACGGCTTTGTCGGGAACGAGAATTTGGATCCTAGAATCCCCATCTGACAGTTCACAAATGCTGTAGCTCCAGCCCCAAGAGATCTGACACAACCTTATGGCCTCTGTGGGCACCTGCACAAATGCTGACAGACACAGACAGACATATGCACACACAACTACAATACAAAACATCTTTAAAAACAGGGGTGGGGTGCAGCTCAGCGGTTCAGCGTGTCTGCTGATCTTGCAGTTACCGGCACCCACATCAGATGGCTCACAACCATCTGTAACTCCAGATCCAGGGCATCTGACACACGCTTCTGGCCTCTTTGGACACCTGTATTGATGTGCACCTGAGGAACAACAATTGATGTTGACCTGCACACACACACACACACACACACACACACACACACACACACACACACGAAGAGGGTACTTGTATTGTAGGATGAGAGTAAAGATACATTTTGGTTCCTGGTTTCAGAGGGTTCAGTCTATCACAGGAGAGTGTGTGGTGGAGGCTGTTCACATCATGGCAGATCAGGAACCAGAGAGAGGTGGGGGGAGGGAGGGAGGGAGGAAAACCAGAGGATTCTTAAAGGCCCCCACTTTTTTGTTTGATCGTTTTTTGTTTTTTCAAGACAGAGTTTCTCTGTATAGTCCTGGCTGTCCTAGAAATTGCTCTGTAGACCAGGCTGGCCTCGAACTCACAAGATCTGCCTGCTTCTGCCTCCCGAGTGCTGGGATTAGAGGTGTGCCCCACCACCACCCAACTTTAAAAAAAAGGATTTATTTAAAATTTTTAAAAACTGTGTGTACATGCTTGTGTGAGGGTATGCACATGTGAATTTGGGTGCCTCCGGAGTCCAGAAGAGGATGTTGCACCTCCTGGAGCTGGAGTTATTGGCTATTGTGACTTTCCCAGTGTGTGTGCTGGGGAACTCAGGTCCTCTGGAAGAGCAGTATGCACTCTTACCTGCTGAGCCATCTCTCCAGCCCCAGCCTTGAACTTCTGATCCTTCCGTCTCCATCTCCCTCCAGAGTGCAGGGCTGTGATTGTAGGTGTGAACTATCGTGAACCTCCATCATAGCATTCAGTGAGTGTATGTATACGTGTGTAATCCCAACACCGAGGAGGTGGAGACAGGAGGATTGGCAATTCAAGGTCATCTTTAGCTACATAGCAAGCGTGAAGTCAACCCGGGCTCATAAAGACCCTGTTTCAAAGAACAAAACACAAAAAATTGAGGGTGGAGAGATGGCTCAGCAGTTAAGAGCACTGGCCGCTCTTGCAGTGGACCCAGGTTCAGTTCCCAGCACCCACATGGTGG